TTCTCAAATATGTTTTACACCCGGAACTTCTTACTGAATCAGATTGATGCCTTCCTTCTTTTTCAGGTTTACTTCTGGAACATATGTGGCAGAATTGCCATTGTGACAAATACTGGTATGATATATGGAACTCGTTTTCCATATTACATGCTTATATATTTTGAAGTCAATGGTAGGTACAAGTTACTAAGCTGACAACGTAACCTTTAAAAGACATGTTTCAATTATCACCCTGCCTGATACAAAGTGTGAGAATGCAAACACCCAATAGCTTTGAAAGACAGAGACCTTTTCATTCAGTTAACTTCTTCGTCCTGGAAGGCTTATCATCCACGATTACAGTCTCAACATCGACCTAGAAAGGAGCGTGACAGCAAGGCAGTGAATGTCACGGAGTATCGGACGCTGTCTCTTATACTTTATATCACCAGGATTATGCTTGATCTTTGTATCTTGTTTTATTTCCCTTTGTGATTCCTCCGACCATTCTCATGAGTTTAAGTGGGCCGATCCTGGCTGTAGTGCAATGCCAGGCCAACCCGCGGCAGGGCTGGAGCAAGCTCCAAAAACCCCGCCAAAGTCCAAAAATCAGTTTAATATTCTGGTCCCCATGTAGGGGACGTATCAGATATTAAGCTGATAAGAACAGATACTACACTTTGATCTTAGCCAAAAGGCCGAGAAGCGATGCTTAAGCACTGCACTTTCAGATACTTATGCACTCAAAATGTATCTTTAATGTCTAGTATTCATTCAAGGTCAAATTCGTCATACAGCGTGTACTGAAAAGCGTCACTGAGACCATTTATTTAACCCATAACACATGAATCTACTTGGGTTCCCCCACAGCTCCATGCTCATCTCTTTCAAATCGTTCTTAAGTATCTCAAAATATCTGCGATATTGTGTTGCATATCCAAAGGTACTCAGTCGGTTAGAGGGAGCCGACGTCAACGTCCACCGGTGATCCGCCTTTATCGTCCTATGTAGGGGAGACGACGGCCACCGATCCCTTGCCCTCTAGTGAGGTGACCTTTGGCCTGACCTGGGTGTGATACATAGCCTCTGAATGCCCACGCTTCCAGCTGTTCCGTCAAGTAGCGAAATGTTTCGTTGGTGTCACCACTTCGTCGCTTTCCACGTCTAAAGTCGAGCTTTGCTTCTATCAGGAGCTCCACCGTAAGGTCGTCTGCAGGAGTCTCGACCACTGCTCGCCAGATGGTAGCACCGTCACCTGCCTGCGGCGGTGTGACCCTCCCCGTACCCATCCCCACACCGTGTGTCGTCACACTCTGTGGGAGGAGCCTTGTTACCGCTCAGTCGGCGGACGGCGGCAGCGGGTGTCGCACGCTCTAGTCCAGCGGTGGTGGAGGCGGTAGGGCAGAGGGCTTTGCTCTCTCCTTGCGGTGGGCTCTTTCCTCCTTTGGAAGTGGGAGGAGTCCTGGAGCCAATCTCACGGAAGCAAACTTCTACACACCAAGCCAGACGTTTGGCTGCCTGGTTGTCGGCCTCAAGCAGATCGCGACGCGAGGAGGTATTCCTTTGTCGGCTTCGTACCGGGCACACTTATGGCACCCATGGGTACCTTATCGGCGTGGGCTCCAGGCCTATTTTTGCTAGGTGTGGTGACCGACTTTCGGTCCGACACGTCTTGGTCGAGTGTCCGAGACTGGACGTTGAGCGACTGCCGTTTTTAGAGTTGCGTGGCCCCCAGCTCTCTTTGAGAACTCTTCTCCGCGATAACCCGCCTCTGGTTGACTTCTCTCGCCTCTGTTCTTTCATGACAGCCTCCGGGCCTCAGGTGATTTCCACCCCTGACTTTGTGGAAGAATGGTTAGATATGGACACCATATAGCCCCATTGCTGGTGCGCCCTATAACACCAAATTATAATCACTCTCGATGAGGTCGTCGGCAACAGTCATGTGAGGTAAGGTCTCACGACTATCTCCAAGAAGAGCCAATGTCCTGCAGCTTGGTTTCAGTTTTTTTTTTCAAGCTTGCAGAATGTTTTCGTTGAGGATTGCCTAACTGGTCTGCACAGTATTTGATCGGTCTCATTGCCTGTTGACTACTCACTGAGTCCCAAACAGAAATGGAAAATATGAGGTGAACCCAGAGACATCTTGTCGAGCGTTGAACGCGTTGAAAGAGGGAAGTAAAGTACGCTTGCAGACAGATATTCAGTACAGTGCAACAACAAACGATGAGCGTCTCGGTCGGTAGGAGGTCTGGGGCTTCTGTATCTAAATCGATGCCCTCTGGTGCGCCAGTCATCCAGCTGGTTAAAAGCTGGCTTGGAGAGGAAGGTAGAAGCGTAGAAGCCACTGCCACTGAGTAGCTGAGACGGCAGCTGGAGTAATTTGAGGCTAATATGACGTGGCCCGTGACCGAACACTATGCGGGTGGCTCTTGCCTGAACGTGTGCGCTATACGTTGGTCGGTCCCCAGATGGTCCCCAGATCAGGTTGCAATATTTGGTAGCCCTTGTGGCTGCTCGGTGGCACGCTGTCAATTTCATGTCGGTGTTTTTTTTTTCACGTTTATTGACAAATCGTACAAATATGACACAAGTACATCTATAATAATCGAAGGCTCTCCAGCCCAACAAGGACAATCTCTGTCATGGTTTCTGACGCCGGTTTTCCGTCTATGCTAAACGAGCGCCCCAGATTGAGGCGTTTAAACTCGCAAACGCCTGATATGCACCGACACAATAGGGCTTTCAAAACCCCCACAACGTGCGAGTAATATTTGGCAAGCGTACACGCTGGCATATACATACAGTGTTGGCAATATACACAAAACGGAAGCCACATTTCAGCTGCATTTTGACTGGGCGGCGGCTGAGCTATAAAAAAAAACCTATAGCTCGCCGCCACCACCACGCGACGTGGTGTGGCCCGCCTGGCCAAGCCGGGGCGTTGTCCCATCATGGACTAAAGAAAACGCCCCGGCCCCGGGGAGATCTGGGGGATACCTCCCCAGCCGGGGAGAGCTGTGGGTTACCTCCCCGGCGCTCCAGGCGGGCCATCAGCCACCGCCCGCGCCGCCCGGCGAAGGGGTATCGCGGGCGGCGCCCCCTATCCACCGGCCGGGCATGCGAGCCGTCGACTTGTAGGGCCGGCGCCCCGCACGCCCGGCCGGCCGACCGGCCCCAGTCAAAGAGGCCGGTCCCGGGTTGGCCCGGATGGGTCATGGGAGCGGTGGCTGATTTTTTGCAGTTTTTTCCATACATTTCTTATACAATCACCGTGAACCACACACACACACTATCATATATCTGCGGTATGCTCTGTGGGCCGAGGCGAGCCAAGGAGCCAGTTGGTTTCGCCCCTTCTCTGACCTATTCTTGTCGACCACTTAGCATTAAAAGAGTTCATTTTATTGTTCACCTTTGCCCAATACATCTCACTTGTCTGATCCGTCGTAAGTATGGTTATAAGTGTGTCTACCGAAAGTCTCCTCCCAGAGTAAATCATGTACACGCCTACACTAACAATATGTTTTATAATCGCATTTTCTGTGCCGCCTAGAATTACCTCCTTCACCCTGGTTATCCTTTCTGGTGTGTTTATCTGAATTCTGGTCAACCACGCTTCAACATTGTCCCAGAAAGCCTTAATCCTCGAACAATACCAGAATTTATGTTCTATATTTTCACGCTCCGTACAATAACTGCATGAATCGGTTCCCATTAATCCAATTTTGTTGAGAAAGCTGTTTGTTCCTACTGTTCTTGTAATGATTTTATACCTAACTGCTCTATACTGCTGTGGAGTGCCCCTGAGACTTCTGTATATTTGCTGCCAATCGATTTGACCCAGCCTTCTCTCCCAGGACATTTCCCATATGTTTCTGACATCTCTCACTCTTTCCTGTCTGAAGACATTTTTTAAATGTGATGTACCCGTGTTTCTAGAAATAATCAAGCTTATTAATGGATCTATACTTGGTCCAAATAACTTCACCTTTTCTCCCGATTCCTTCCATTCTCTAGGTAAGCTACTTATTAGTGTTGCATAATCCAGAAAAGTGGTTGTAATGTTGTAGGTCCGTTTTAATTCCTCAAAACCTAGTAAAGATCCATCTGTTTTTAATAAGTCATTCAACGATCTGATGCCTTTGACATACCATTCTTCAATCCATGAAGTTTTGAACTTAGTAGTATCAGAAAAAAAGATAGCTGTGGAGTTTAGCTCCTCGACACCTAGCTTCTGTGAGCATATTTCCCTGAAATTTGCTAATGCTATCATCACGTCTCTCCAGAATAGATTCTTAGTACGAGATGCCTTTCTTTTCAAAGCTGTTTGACCCATTTGCCAGATATATATATATTTTTACCCGTACTTTTCTGTGCAACTGCGTTCCATATTCCTTGCTTTACAATGCACCTCCTAATCCAAGATAGCTTCAAGGCTCTCATATAACTTGTTAAATCAACCATGTCCACTCCTCCATTGAGATGGTTTTTCATCAAAGACTCCCGTTTGATTTTTTCTCCTTTTCCATGCCACAGAAAGCTGAAAAGAGTCTTGTTAAGATCTTTGATAATTTTTTTGATGGGTCAGGGAGCGTTGTGAGCAGGTGACTAATCTTGGAGATCAGCATCGATTTTATTATTACCACTTTTCCTTCCAGTGATACGTTTCTGAACTTCCATTTCGTTATTTCTCTTTTGATTTCCTTTACCTTCTCTGTGTACAGTTCTGTTACTTTTTGCAGTTCATTATCGAAAGTGACCCCTAGGACTTTAATCGTTTCACTCCACTTTACAGCTAAATTTCTCTGAAGAAAACGATTTTCTCTGCATGCCTTCCCTATCCACATAGCTTGAGTCTTATCGAGGTTTGGACTTAGTCCCGAATACTTCGCGAACCATCCTACCGAATACCTCCGCGACGCATGACCGGGAGGAGCTGGGGACTGGGCGAACGCCAATTGAGGTCGGTGGCCAACGGGTACATCAGGGGGGCCTTAGAGTACGCGGCGGGGGCGTGGATGCCTGCGGCCTCCGCTTCACACCTGGAGCTGGTCGACAGGGAGCTGCGGGCGGCGGCCCGGGTGATAACCGGCTGCCCCGCCTCAACACCCGCCTTCGCCCTGCTGTCGGAGGCGGGCATGCCCGCCGCATGCACGCGCCGCTCGGTGGTGGCAGCCAGGCTACTGGGCCTGGCGATGTCCCTGCCAGAGGGCGACCCTCTCCGAGCCCTGGCGGAGTCGACCCCGCCGCGCCGCCTCAAGACGACGACCGGATGGAGGGACCGCGGTCGCGAGGCCCTAGCACGGGTCTGCCGCGGCGGCGCGCCGCTGACCTTTGAAGCGCGGCTAGCAACCGCCGGGCCGCCGTGGCGCGATGTCCCCGGTGTGACCATCGTCCTGGAGGTGGGTCCCGGGGGACGCCGCGACTGCCACCCGGACACAAGACGAGAGGCAGCGGAGAGCCGTCTGGCGGAGCTTCCGGCCGAGGCGACCTGGATATGGTCAGACGGCTCCGCCGCGGATGGGGTGCTGAATGGAGGAGGAGGAGCCACCATCATTTCCCCGAACGGCGACATCAGGGAGGTGCGTGTCGCGGCAGGCGCCCTCTGCTCCAGCACCCGCGCGGAGCTATTCGCCCTGAGAGCGGCGCTGGAGGAGCTCCTGAACATGGATGGCCGTGACACCTCCCTTCCGACTGTCGTCTGTACCGACTCGATGGCGGCGCTGGCCCTCCTGCGGAGCGGCCCGGCGGCCCAGAGGACTCCGCTGGCCGCAGATATATGGAGGCTGCTGGCCGCGCTCACCGAGGGGGGCCAGCCAGTAACCATGCAGTGGGTCCCTGCACACTGCGGGCTCCCCGGTAATGAGCGAGCGGACGCCCTCGCCCGCGAGGCCAGCGCCCTACCCCAACATGACACTCCGATCGACGGTGGCACGATATGCAAGGCCGTTGCACGAGACGCTGCGCGCGCCTGGCAGCAGAGCTGGCCGGACGGCTGGTACCGGGCGATATGGGCCGACCGCCGTCCCGGCCCCGTCCTGGAGGCCGACCGTGCCGTCGCGGTTGATATTCACCAGCTCCGAGCAGGACACTGGAGCGGCTCGGCGCAGTACCTGCACCGCATCGGCCGCCGTCCCGAGGCCGACTGCCCGCAGTGCAATGACATGGGCTGCCCTGCTGCACGATGCCGCGTCTGCCGCGAGGAGGCGGACACTCCACGACACGTCCTGCTCCGATGCCCGGCGCTGGCGGGACGCCGCCTGCGGCGCCTGGGTAATATTCACCTGGAAGCGTCTATGGCAAGGGACGACGGCGCGGTGGCGGCCTTGGCCGCCGGCTACCGCGCCCAATTGAGCCTCATCGGCTACGCCCCCTAGGGGGCTGGAGGGAACAACGACGACGACGAACCATCCTATCTCTTGGAAGAGTTCCATCATGCTTGTTTTCTCTGGTGCGAGTAAACAAATCGTATCGTCTGCATACATGAGCACTTTGTGTTCCTCATTGTCTATTTTAATTCCTTTGATAGCTGCATTTCCTTGAATCTTTTTCGCTAAAACGTCCATCACAAGAATAAACAAGTAACAACTTAGCGCATCCCCCTGTCTACAAGACCTTGTTAGCATTATTTTACTCGACAAATGACCATTATACAAAATTCTGGAAAAAGCTCCAGCATACAGTGTGTTGAACCAACGTGTAATACTATGCGGAAAGTTTTTCTGCTCCAGGACTTTTTTAATGAATGTCCAACTGACTGAATCAAAAGCTGCTTCTATATCCAGACTTACTAAGACCCCGTTCTTTTGTTCTTGATTCAAGAGTTGGATAACGTCGTAAATCATCCTGATATTGTCCCCAATAAATCTCCCTTTTAAATAGGCAGACTGGCAATCCTCGATTATGTCTCCTAGCACGACTTTTACTCGATTTGCAATAGCACCTGAAATGATTTTGTAGCTAGTATTTAGGAGTGTTATTGGTCTATATGACTTGATCAAATCTCTGGGTCTATTTGGCTTAGGTAACAACACGATTATTCCTTCTTTTAAAGTTAGAGGAACTGTACCCTTTGTGGCACTCTCAACTACCATAGCATGAAAAAAGTGTTTTATGTCTGCCCAGAAGAATTTATAAAACTCTACGGGAAAACCGTCACTACCTGGAGACGTTCCATTTTTCATTCTCTGTAGCGTTGATCCTAATTCTTGCATGTTCAACGGCTTATCTAGATTGAGCTTGTCATGGTCATTTACTTTTTTAATATCCATGTTTGATAGATATTCATCGTAATTAACTCCCTCTAAAAACTCATCCTCACTTTTGAACCTTTTTTGATAAAATCTACGGAATAGATCAAGAAATTCTATTTGATTCCTTGTGCAGCCTGCTGACGATCTGATGCATGGTATCCTCTTACTTTCGTACCTCCTTTTTTCTAATGTAAGAAAATACTTTGTTGGTTTTTCCGCATTTTCCCTCCATACAGCTCTCGCCCTAACCAAACTCCCTTCCAACTTGATCCTCCTTACGTCTTCCAATTCTTTTTTCTTGTTTTGTATCTGATCGTACAATGAGTGAGTACCTAAAGCGTCAAGCTCTTTCTCTAAAAGAAGTATATCTCTTTCCAATTGGTTTTCTCGCCTTCGTTCCTCCCTTCTCTTCCTAATGCCGAAAGAGACTGTTTCTCTTCTTAACGTCAGCATCAGAGTTTCAAAAAACAAAGATGAATCAATTGTCATTTCTATCTTTGTTGAGGTCTCCAAAATGTAGTCATGTGCGTATACGGGAAGAGCGTATTCTACTACCGTACTCTTAATCGTATCTTTTATCATTTTGACGTAATTTTTGTCTCTTAACAATGATGCATTGAATTTAAAGAGTCCTCTTCCCCTCGGCTGCTTTGAGAAGTCCACCGTCAATGTAATAATGGAGTGATCCGATCTATAACCTGGTTGAATGTCCGCCTCATCAACATAACTTTCCAGAGCAGCACTAGTAAGAAACATATCCAGTCTCGCCTGCTTTACTATTGGGTTTCCAACCCGCCAAGTATATCTTCGGTTTTCAGGATTTTTTTCTCTGTATATGTCTATCAATTCATTTTGTACCATCATTGCTTTTACTGCTTCTCTAGCTCGAGTGTTGTTTTCTCTTCTATAGTTAAAGTTATCTAACTGTTGATTTAGAGTTACATTAAAGTCACCCCCGATAACGACTGGTGTATCTGCGTCCTCTATGGTTGCATTAATGCTCTCGCTCAAAAATTCGAAGAAATTGGGCTCGTCTGTATTCGGGCCGTAAATTGCTACCAGACATAATTCGAATTCTTTCTGGATTTTTGCCTTTGTAATGATGAAGTTTCCTCCTTCATCAATCATTGTCTCTCCGAATTCTACGTCTAAGTTTTTCGTAAGTATTGCGACTCCTCTTGCATTGTGCGTGTATGGTGCTACTATGACTGATGATCCCCAAGCGTTCCTAAAATAAGGCACCCCTATCTTTTTGCAGTGGATATCCTGTAGGAAGCAAATATGAAAGTCCTGGTTTCTTAGATATTGGAAAACATCCTTTCTTTTCTTGAAATCACCTAACCCTCTGCAATTAAAAGATGCGAATCTAATTGCACTCATGGTGAAGTTTTTGCGTTCCTTTCTTTTTTCCAGACCTTTGCACAACTCGCTTTGACCCACAGAGACTCCGCTTAAGCGCGATGGTACATTGAAACATGGTAGCAAACAAACATGGTACAAACCTTGTAGCCTGTCGTTTAAGACAAATACAATATACATGCGAAAGTGTATGCCATGGCAAAGGTTGTATGAAGAGCAATTGACATGTGTTCCTCGTTCCCTCGTTCCCATTAGCCCAAAACTCTATACAGGTAATCCCTATCCTATCCATATATAGCCTAACCGCCTTGATTGACTTGGAATGGCACCTCATTTCAGGTAGGAGCGTATATCAGATGCTCCTCTCCTCAAACCCGATTCCCCTCGCACCAAACCTTCCCGTTGTTCTTTATCTCTATCAGTCGGATAAACCTGTTTTGCTAGAAGGGCCCGTTGGTAGGCGCCCTCTTGACCCTCACTTCTTCCTTCTCTCGAAAGATGTCGTTCTGCCTGCGCCTTCCCATCGTCCCTCTGTCCCGGAGGAACGCTTGTAGTCCGCCTCACCACTCTATCGCGCACACCACCGGTCCCCCTCCCCTTCCCTGTCCCAGCCACCCCACCTCTGGCCCTCGCTTGACCCGAGCTCCCATCCCCACACGGAGGTGAGTTCAGGTGCACTGGGAGGGCGCGCGCGCCGCCCCGGCCGGACGGCTCACCGTTGACCACCGGCTGCTCTCTTCTGTCGATGTCGGCGTCTCGTTGGTTAACCTCCCCCTGGCCGCCGGGACGCCGTGCCAGAGGCGACTCCAGGCCAGGGGTTCCGTGCGACCCCGAGCCGTTCCTCCTATGCCCGACCAAAGACGCCGCCCCAGCGGTCCCGTCAGACGGGTCAGGCATGTCGACATCCCGCTGGTCCGCCCGGGGGCCCGCCGCGGCGTTCGTCTGCTCCGGCAGAGGCGGCTCTCGGGCCTCGCTACCCAGCTCGCACGTAGGCAGAGTCGTGGTCCGCTCGGCTCCCACGCTCTCTCCCAGCACGGAGGGACCGGACACTGCGGGCAGCTCACCCGCTCGCCCAGGGTCACGTGACCCCGGCCGGTCGGTCTCAGGGGCGACCCCAGGACCCGCCGCTGGGGGAGGCACCGGCTCTGTAGAGACATTTCTCACCAGCTGTGCCAGGAAGTGTTCTGCTTCCTCTCTGTTTTTGGCCCGCATGAGTCGCTCATTTTTTGATCTTGCAAACAGCACTTCTCCTCCTCTGGTTATAACCGTTGAGATTTTTCCTTCCCTTCGCGCTTGGAGGAGTAATTGAAACGCCTCCTGCCTCATCGGGGTCAGGTTTTCATTAATGAAAACTTTGTGACCTCTCAGCTTGTACTTGTTGCGAAATATCTCATCTCTGATTGATCCTCTTTCGTCACTGGCAAAAGTGATCAGCACTCGGTTTCGTGGCAGGACTTTTGCGGAAATGATATGAGCTGGGTGTACTTCGAGCTCCAGCATTCTATTTATCATCGCTGACATTGCCGCTATCATTCCGCGTTCATTTTGTGGGATATGCAAGTCCCTCCCTGAGAAAATGAGCTGTGTTCTTCTTCTCAGTTTCTCACTATCCTCTTTTTCCTGTTCTAGCTTGGCCACTCTGTACGCGAGATTTTGCCAATCGTTGTGCAGTTCAGCTAGCGCCTTTTCCAGCGAGTTCGCCTTTTGTGTCGTTACCGTAATCGTTTCCAATGCAAAGCTCAAAGATTGTTCTATTGCCTTTATCCTTTCATCAAGAGCTCTTTTGATCTCCGTTACAGCCTCACCGGTTTTCTCCTCTATGAATGCTTTGAGCTCTTCTATCGTTCCTTCCTCTTTCTCCGGAGTTCCCGATTCGTGTCTTCTTTTCCTCTGTTTTGTCATCACGGCCAGTCACCGTAGGCACTTTAACATGTAACCAAAACCACAGCACTTTGGTTACTCTCTTTCACTCTGCCTCGCGCTCACTGCTCTCACTTGACGGCCCGCGCGGAGCGCACGCGCGCACGTCCGCTCGCCTCGGCTGACCTGCCGCAACTCTTCATGTCGGTGTTAGCAAGCACATCGAAGTCCGTCGCCAGTTCCGAACACCAGGCTCGGCAAGGCTCTGTTTCGGGTAGTTCGTTCACCTAGATGGGGAGAAGCAAACGGTTCAGGACTGAGCTTGTGAGACCGCACTCGTGAGCCATGCCAACACTGATTGATTTCCTGATGTAGCACTTGCGACTTTTTCAATCAAGAAGTGTCGATTCCGTACAACAGGGATACCAAAGACGTTGTGGGAGAAATGTTTCGTCTTTTTAATATTGAGCTGAACATGTTTGAAGTGGCGAATCGTGAGAGATCAGCATCTTTGGTGATGCTGAATCTCGAGTGCTGCTCTTTTCAGTCTGCACTCCACCAAGTTGAGGTAACCAAATCACCAAGTCGAGTTGGGGTGAACGCCAGCCCGAAAGGGTCAACAAGGAGACAGATTGCCTTATCCTGAATCCTGTTGATAGAGAGGACGGAGCTTTCATGCTTTTTTTGTTTCGTTGTTCTCTTAGACCCCGGTTATAAAATGTTTTGGGCTGAAATGGTCAGTACAGAGCTATGAGAAGGTAGCATAAGGTGCAGGCATTGGACACTGTGAACCACTGACGGTTCGATTCAGTGAGTAAGCCAGTTGGTGGGACGGTAGTATGCCGATGGGACAATTCGCCCTGCCGCTCAAACCGTCACCGGGTTATAGCCTCGTTGATGGTTTGTCCTGTCGGCTGTCACACCAAATCATCATCAAGCCATCACCCCGGAGAGGGTGCAACTAGTCCTAAGAGGACTTGCACTGATCACCAGTTGACCACCAGCCGGGAAAAGAAAGCATGAGAAGGATGCCAATGACTCTAAGGCTAGTTGTAATGCCTTTGTAATAAAAATTGTCTACATTTTGGGCTACCTGACTTTACCTAGGAAGCTTGGTGCTGTCCTGTTGTCAACCAACTTTCTCCCTGAAGAGCTTGGACGTTTTCCCACGGTGCAACCATATTGCATTTCGATTGATTTGAGCATTATCGTGCTCGGTTACATACATTTAATTACTTAATAGCAGAGTTAACTCGAAATGATGCTGCTAGCTAGACTCGAAGTGGATAATGCTATCCATGACCATGGATAAAGCACATGGATATGGATGAGCACATGGGTAATCAATTCTCAAAGTTGTGGACATTGCCGCTGCGTGTTGCGCATGGTCGGTGGCAACCACCTTTGTTGGTTGAAGTACAAGACCCTGAGACATGAACTGGTTGCCGTAGAACAAGATCAGTAGCATGGGATTGACATCATACATTCGTCATGAATTGGTCTTTGATGCCGAGAAACTGCCTGTGAGTAGTGTATTATGCCTGCTGGCCCATCGACGGGTGGCTGCGCCGAGCCAAGCATCATCTGTGGTTACGGGGTCGGGCGTCCCCTTCTGACCCGGCCGGACACCTGTTTGCTTATTGCTGGCCCAGGTCCAGGTTATTGTTTGCCGAACGCCCGACTTCACAACACAATTAACGTATACGGAGTATCTGACGCTGTCTCTTAAGCTTTATATCACCAGAATTATGCTTGATCTTTGTATCTTATTTTGTCCTTTGTGATTCCTCCGATCATTCTCATGAGTTTAAGTGGGCCGATCCTGGCTGTAGTGCAATGCCAGGCCAACCCGCGGCAGGGCTGGAGCAAGCTCCAAAAACCCCGCCAAAGTCCAAAAATCAGTTTAATATTCTGGTCCCCATGTAGGGGACGTATCAGATATTAAGCTGATAAGAACAGATACTACACTTTGATCTTAGCCAAAAGGCCGAGAAGCGATACTTAAGCACTGCATTTTCAGATACTTATGCACTCAAAATGTATCTTTAATGTCTAGTATTCATTCAAGGTCAAATCCGTCATACAGCGTGTACTTAACAACGTCACTAAGACCATTCATTTAACCCATAACGCTCTAATCTACTTGGGTTCCCCCACAGCTCCACGCGTGTCTCTTTCAAATCGTTCTTAGGCATCTCAAAATATCTGCGATATTGTGTCGCATTCCCGAAGGTATTCTGTCGGTTTGTGGAAGCGGACGTCAACGTCCGCCGATGATTCGCCTTTATCGTCCTATGTAGGAGGGACGACGGCGCCCGATCCCGTGGTCTCTAGTGTAGTGACCTTTGACCTGACCTTGGTGTGATACATAGTTCTTAAATGCCTATGTTTCCATCTATGTCGTCATGCAACTGAATGTTCCATTTGTGTTACTACTTCGTCGCTACCCACGTTTGAAGTCGAGCGACGTCCCTGTTAGGGCCTCCACCGTAAGGTCGTCTGCAGAAACCTCGTCTACTGCTCACCAGGTGGTAGCACCGTCACCAGCCCACGGCGGTGTGACCATCCCCGTACCCGTCCCCACAACGTGTGTCGTCACACTGGGTGGGAGGGGCCTGTTACCGCTCAGTCGGCGGACGGCGGCAGCGGGTGTCGCACGTGCTGCTGCAGTTGTGACTAGGTAGCCGACTCCACATGCGTTCCTCGGACGGTGAAGAGCTTGAATATCCCAACCCGGGCTCAGTCCTTCGCCGGTAGATGCAGAGAAGAAACAGTGCCTTGCGATGATTGCAACCCTCCGACATGCATACTGTGATTGCTCCTCTTACCCTTTTCGCCTTGCCAAGGTATCCTTGACACCCAAGCTCTGGAAGCTGTTCGACGGATACCTTGTGTTTTTAGGCGACATGTTTAGGGCTCAGTTGCAAATTACAAGAAGTCGGCACCTTTTCACTCGAGAAGTTTGACTCACGAGACGAGGTATGGGGTTGGTCATTGATTCGACCTCATGTGTGCCACTTGTTAGGCCATGAGCTGTTTTACAGGGAAGAAGTCGGGTGAATGCAATTTTTCTCCATCATGGAAATGTGTGGCTTTCACCTGAAGGTACTTCAAGATCAATGAACCGTCGATGGGGAATAAATATTCAAGCAACCAACTCTAAAGCGAAACTTTTACAAAAGTCGCGCAACGCGACCTGCGCCTGCAGAGGCGTTCGACATGTTGGCATCTCTGGATGATCAGCCTGCAGAGGCGTTCGAAATGTTGGCATCTCAAGATGATCAGCCACAGCTTACGTCCACGACGTAGATGATGAGCTCACGGTCTCGGCGGTGCGCAGATAAGGAGCAGTCACTACAGTTCTTGGTCACAGTCTAGGTGAGCTCCTTGAACACCAACGACTAGTTCTTGGTGACTACAGCAGAAGGACGCTGTGCTCATCGCACATCCGTTAGACTGCTGCATATACATTTCGGCTGGGCGAACCATCACCAGCCAATCGGGTCGTCGCCACAACTTTCACGCGAGGCCAGTGAGGACTTGGGAACTGGGTGTTTTACCACTGGGGTCATGTGAAACTGACTTACAAGCGTAAATCTTGAGACATCTCGGAACTAAAACCAGCAGCAACAGAGTGTGTCAGCGAGGAGTGAGGGAGGACCGTCAAGAATCTTGAGCACTACTAGTTCTTGCAGAAGGTAGGCTTCGGGTGGAGATCAGTTGGCGTAGTAGGCACACTTCAAATGTTTTGTAACAGTAATGAAGCATTGTCGGCAACGCGTTTACTTCTTGGTTACTGCGGCCATCGCTGTGTTACCCATTCTTGAATCTGCATTTACTTTTTCTTGCCATTCTTGTATGCTATATGTAGGACGGAGCTTGAAAGAAGAAATATATCTTTCGTTTTGTATTTAGCGGACGTCTTTTGTGTTTTTCAGTGGACTCACTGGATTAAGTCCGCTGTGTCACAGGTCTTTAGAGGTGGTATAGGCGACCTCACCGAAGTGAAGGCCTCAATGTATGCACCACCGAGACAGTGCAATGGTTTTCTATTCTTGTTATCATCTTTTAAAGACGGACCAGCTGTTGAAGCCTTTCCTTGTACATTGCCTGCTCATATACTGCAACGTGTTCACCCTGCCAGTGGTTTGTTGTTTAAACGCGAAACTATGTATTTTTCAAGAACTTGGCAATGGAATCGTGTTGCTGTAACTTTTCAGTATTGAGTGTGATACGAGCAGTCACTCCTATCGTTCTGTGTGTGAACTGTGATACTTTAATTTTTTTTGTCGTAATAATGTCACTTTCGTGATAGGATACCTAAGTGTTGATTTATTTCGCACACCCATTTTACGTGCCTTTCGTTAAGTGATGTTTGTTTAATTAATCCTGCATAGTGAACATGTCTTTAGTATGGCATTCCTATGCATACAATACAACTGATGTAGAACAGGCTACGCTCCCACTGGTATAGACGTGTTTGCCCAATGCCCCTGATAAATTATGAAAGCCTTTTGTTTATTGTCCCAGAACAACCTAACATTGCAGCCTTCATCGCCGTATCAGGCGGCATTAGATACCGAATATCTCAGCGGTCGTGGTGCTTATGCTGTCTGATAAACAAGCAGTCCGTTTAGTAGCACCGGCAAACGTTTTTCTTCGTCGGCGACCGCGACCGTCAGTCCGACAGAGGCGTGCCCAGCTCGTCAGCAGTCGACCTGTCACCATCTCGGGGCAACTGACCTGACACCCCTAGAATGGCCTTACAGCTAGCACCCTTGCAGTAACTACGGCGGTATTGCTGAGCCCTGCGGACGCCACTGGTACCGTCCCTGCGTCATCGATCGCCTAACACTCCCCGCTGTTGCTGCCTGACGCCGCCTCTGCCGCCGAGTGACGCTCCTCTCATGGTATCGGCAGTCGCCTCGCGCACTCGGCCGCGCTGGGATGTCGGTGCCCAGCGCTCCGCCGCCGCTGTTGCTCGCCGCCGCCGCCGTGCTGGCGGTGTCGGGCCTGCTGGCCTGGCGGTACAGCAGGCGCCGCCACTGGGTGCCCGTCGGCACACTGTCGGCCATCAGTCTGTACCCGCTCAAGTCCGGGGCGGGCCTCCGGTGCCAGCACGCCCAGGTGACCGCTTTCGGGCTGCGCTCCGGCCCAAAGCTCGACCGCTGTCTGGCGGTGGTCTGCAACGACACCATCCTCTGCGCCATGTCCCGCCGCACGATCGTCCTGATCAAAGCCGACCTGGACGACGATTCCGTCACGCTGTCGGCGCCGGCGATGACGCCGCTGCGCGTGCCGCTACCGACGGAGGGCAATTCTGTGGTTCATGGCGAGCAGTTCGGCACGCATAACGCCGGTCTGGACCTCGGCGAGCAGGCGAGCAAGTGGCTCAGTGACTACTTCGCCGACGGCAAGGCTTACACGCTGATGTATTTCCGGCACGGTTCGGTGCCGGCGCGCCGCACTGTCGACATACCGAGGCCGTACGCGCGCTTCGCGCTGCCGTCCGACGTAGCCGCCTTCCAGAACGTGACGGCACTCTCCGTGGTGTGTGAAGCGTCCGTAGACGAACTCAACTCGCGCATGGAGACGCCAGTGACGCTGGACAACTTTCGGATGAACCTGACTGTCGCCGGCGCCGCTCCCTTTGCCGATGACGACTGGGCATTTGTGCGCATCGGGACTGCCGTGATGCGACACATCAAGGCGGTCCAGCGGTGTCCAAACACCTGCGTGGACCCGCGCACTGGACAGCGCAGCCAACTCATGGAGCCGCTGCGCACGCTCCGCACGTTCCGCTTGGCCAAGACGAAGGAGGAGAAGGCGATGTACAAGGATTCGCCGCTGCTGGGCAACGCTCTGGGAGTGGATGTCGAGGGCGATATTAATGTAGGGGATACTGTCTACGCGCTGATGAAATGAGAGCTGTGGGAGGGAACGCAGACTTGATGAGAATTGTGATCGAGTGATGAACGAAGTGTCCCTGTTAAATTGTTTATAACAATGCGATAAATCAGGACTGAACTTTCCTGTTAGATTGTTTATAACATTAGCAAATCATACGCGTGCTGCAGCGATGTTATTTGTACTTAATATTAGCCACAATTGAAATGTGGCAAATGACCAATTATTGGTGGTCTGTAAGCGGTGCAATACATGAATGAAATAAGCACTTCCATTGCTTACTCCTTTGCTTAATTTCACGCTTGGACGTTTTTAATTCGTAGAAAATCAGAACATAAGTTACAAGGTACGGTCATTGCCTTATATAAGAGTACGACAGCAGCCAGCTTCAAAAGCAGGCTTATAGCCTTTTGCCTCCACCGCCGCCGGATCAGCGAGTGTGAAGCCGGCTGCCGCCGTCCGCCGACTGAGCGGTAACAGGCTCCTCCCACAGAGTGTGACGACACACGGTGTGGGGACGGGTCCGGGTACGGGGAGGGTCCAACAGGGTTCAACAACCGCAGGCTGGTGATAGTGCTACCATCTGGTGAACGGTAGACGAGGTTCCTGCAGACGACCTTACGGTGGAGCTCCTGACAGGGACGTAACTCAACTTCAGACGTGGGTAGCAACGAAATGGTGACACAAAGGAAAAATTCCGTTACTTGACGAGAGAGCTGGGAACGTAGGCATTCAAGGGCTATGCATCACACCCAGGTCAGGCCAAAGGTCACTACACTTAGAGGCCACGGGATCGGGTACCGTCGTCCCTCCTACATAGTACGATAAAGGCGAATCATCGGTTGACGTTGACGTCTGCTTCCACAAACCGACAGAATAGCTTCGGGAATGCGACACAATATCGCAGATAATTTGAGATACCTAAGAACGATTTGGAAGAGATACGCGTGGAGCTGTGGGGGAACCCAAGTAGATTCGAGCGTTATGGGTTAAATAAATGGTCTTAGTGACGCTGTTCAGTACACGCAGTATGACGAATTTGACCTTGAATGAATACTAGACATTAAAGATACATTTTGAGTGCATAAGTATCTGAAAATGTAGTGCTTAAGTATCGCTTCTCGGCCTTTTGGCTAAGATCAAAGTGTAGTATCTGTTCTTATCAGCTTAATATCTGATACGTCCCCTACATGGGGACCAGAATATTAAACTGATTTTTGGACTTTGGCGGGGTTTTTGGAGCTTGCTCCAGCCCTGCCGCGGGTTGGCCTGGCATTGCACTACAGCCAGGATCGGCCCACTTAAACTCATGAGAATGGTCGGAGGAATCACAAAGGACAAATAAGATACAAAGATCAAGCATAATCCTGGTGATATAAAGTTTAGGAGATAGCGTCAGATACTCTGTAGATATACATTAGCTGTCTTTTTGTGAAGTATTCTTTCAAACTCTTCAATGGCCACGCATAGATCCACGGTTCCGAATATTGCACCTCATGGCATATCATTGCTTTTGGGTCTGTCTTTCGAAAGATGAAGTAAAAATATCGCAAATTTCGTGTTTGAGAAGATGTATACTATTTATGATTTTAGGGATAAAAATGGCAGGTGAAATATTGCAAACGCAAACTATATAGACATCCTTTTTTGTGCGCCTCATTTCAGAACCTCTTATCGACACACTTGATCTCAAATAAGGGAGGATGGCAGATGAGAATCGTTCGATTTGGACTAACTAAAGTAGCATTTGGACCATAGAGTTCTGCTGGACCAGGACCTCGGTATACAGAAGGCCTACGGTTTGACGTTGGGTCTACACAAAACATCAATTCATAAATAATTGGTAACTTAAAGGACAAACAATGATATTCTCTTGCAGAACGCATGAATCATGGATATTAATCATGGATATACATAGATCTTCGGGTTATGTACGCTGCCCAGATTCTTTAAGTAATCATTGCACGGGCGCAGCAGTCGAGGCCCGGCAGCCGAGCGTCAATAAAGCCTGGCAAAACTGAGGTGGTTTGCTTGGCTGTTACCGGGGCTCTAGGCGCCGTGACTACTGAGGAAACGTTTCAGGGGATCAGAGCAGAGAACTTCTTCATAGCGATAACCCCCTAATCTTGGTCGAGGAAGGGCTAGATACCAGTGTCAGAACAATTGTCACAAGCGGAGTGCCTCTAGGATTAATTCTGGGACCCCTTTTTTCCTGGTGCGGTGCATGTACTTGACACATACCGTTTCGAATCTATGTCAAATCAGCTGCAGAGCTCAAGGTGTATGATACTGCCCACAGTATGAGAAAAGAAAATTTATTGATTTGATTGCGCTTGGAAGCTGGTCGTGAAGGTGTCCCCTGCTGGTCAAGGTACAGAGAAGAATGCCGTGTTCATTGCCTGTATTATAGTAGGCAAGCCTGAGTCGAAGTACGCCATTGCAAATGATCCAATTTCCTGATCGAAAGCGCGAAACCATCGCTTAGACTCCAATGAAGCAATTACCACCGAACGTTTGCATCTCTAGTAGAAAATAGCTCTCGCCCGTTAACCCGGCCCCTGATGACGCGCGGACCAGGTGGCGCTGCGTTCGCCATCTGCGCGTCTGTTCTGCCTCCCTTGGTCGAGGCCAGAATTATCGAGCGGCGTCGTACACCGACGACCTTGATCGATGCGTATAGGGCCGTGCTCTAAGTCTTAGGCCAGGAGGGAATAAAAGAAGAGTAGTCTATGTACGTATAGGGATATTGCCATCTGCAGTGTAACAGTGCTGTCTCCGTAGTCTGATTCAGGTGAGATGACCAACAGCTGGCCGCGTAAAGCTGTGCTGGTGTGATCCAAGTGTGATCGGTGCCCCACCTTCAAAGTATAAGATTTGTTGTGCTTTGTCAGCTGAGTGTTTGCTTTTATTGTAAATATTCTCGCGCCCAATCTTGTAACTTCTGTCAACTTCTGTCAACTTCTTTGGATAACAAAGTGTTGCTTTTTAATACCATAGCGAACTACAGTTGGTGTTAAATTTCCAGATAACCATGATTCTAACCCGGCTCGAATTGATAATTAGTTGTCATTTGGTATATATTTTCCTTTATTACCATTGATTTTTAGTTCTTAAGGGGAATATACCACCTCTTTCAAATTAGCCTTTTTGCTACAGTTAAATCATTCAGGGGGGGGGGGGGGGTCATGCCCCCCGTCTAACTCGGCTCCTGGGCCACGTAGCGACACGCGGTTAGCGGCAATCGAAAGAGCGTAAAAAATAATGACGGAAACACATGGGCCATTTTTAGGTCTGGTCAAAGGTCAGGTCACCAGAGGTCATCAAAGGTCAAATTTAATCCATTTTAACAATTTTGGAAACTGCCAACGGCTAACTCGGGAACCAATAGAGCTACAGCGCCGCGTAAAAGCACATTCGATAGCCCTTTTACAGACCTCTCTGGATACTGCTCTCAGATTTAACCTCAGTTTAACTGTTTAGCCTCCAGAGGGCAAAAACTCATGCCCATCCGACTGAGACCCATGTTTTGTTAGCGTTTACCAGCTGTTCCGTCTGCCGCCAGGGCCGCCACCATGCGGTGTCCACAGCTGGGCTCGTTCTTGTGCTGCTCTCTGCGCACTGGTGTCCTCGTCATAGCCATCACCTGCCTGGTGCTGAACACGCTGGGCGCCATATTCTTTGCGTACGTCTTGGCCTCCCCCAGCGCGATCCGCGCAGCCGTCATGGAAGACCCGTCCATTTTGGATGACGACGAGCCGGCCGAGGAGCAGCTGCGGGAGATCGTGCAGGGGGTGCACGTCCTGTTCGGGCTCGGACTGGCGTCTGCCATCGTCTGCCTGGTCATGGACGTGGCGCTGCTGGTGGCCTTCAAGAAGGACCGGCCGCGCCCGATGTTCGTGTGGTGCATCTGGTACAGCCTGGTGTCGGCCGGGATGATCGGCTACTCTCTCTATATGACTGTGCTGATGATAGCTACGAGTGACACATCGCCGGACTTGTGGTTCCACATCATGACGATGCTTGCGTCCGGCGGCACTGGCATCTACTTTATACTGGTCGTGAACAGCTACCACCGAATATTGAAGGAGCGAGGTAACGGCGGCGGATACTTCCTGCAGCCTGTGACGACCGCCTGAGCAGCCGTCTCACCGCAGAGTGGCCTCACCGAATACTGGAAGGGGTGCTCGCACTCTATGAAGACGAGGTATTGTGAAATCAGTACCGAGGAATGCTGTAGCTGATGAGCGCTGACCAATGACAGGAGGTCATTGACAGTTATTAATAGCACCTGGGCTTAATGATAGCTCGGTGGGATTCTCTGTACTAATTTGGATCTCGCTAACCGCATGCATGCATACCGTCCTAAACCCGCCAGAGTGGCTGCCCCATTGAGCTGGTAGCCGACATCTACAACTGCCTTTGGTCCTCACCTGGTCCTCACTGCCCCGAGGCGGTATATCTTTCTCACAAGTTTATGAAAATGGACGTACACGTGCACGCTTATTGTTGCCGCTTCTTGTCTCAGGAATATTATGTGCAACTTGAAGTGCGATGAATGTCACACAGTTATCGGTAATATCCTCGATTTTGGTTATTTCTGATTCGCTGACAATAAGACAGAGTCTCACGATTTTCTTATGGTTTTTGTTGGAAATATTTAATGTTCTTCGGGACCTAGTGAGCATGTTTTTTTTTTAAATGATAATTTAGTTGCATGACCCTTCATATGTTAGCTCTTGAGTTGTTCGTGTTACTTGTATTATCCTCATGAGACGTGTGAGAGCTGTGAAGACGCGCTTTTCGTAGAGAACAGAACAAGAGATCGGCGGCTGGATGGGTGCTATTTGATGTATGTGATGTCACAGTATGCCTTCTTCGTCACATCTTGAATCTCTAGTTTTTCTTGGCATAGCTACTGTGTGACATCACATGCTGGTGGACGTAAGCATCGGTAATAGCGAGATACGCGTATGTGTCGTGTTCGGTGTTCAATGGGTGTTTGTGATCTGTGACGTGCGATGGAACGATGTGCTTTTAGAGGTATATTCTAATGTCCTACAAGATATTTATTACTTGTTTTCAGTTTTTTTTTGTTCAATCAAAATTATATTCAGAAATACTTACCCCTAGTCCTAGATGAATTATTTATAAGTGGTGCCTCGGCATTTGGACTAAGAAATTAAGGCAAACAGTTGCCTTTCTTAATTCTTTCGTTTCTTTCGTAGGAAGCGGGCGCAAAATGTCCTCGCAGTCGGCGCGCCCCTAACCCCCAACAAACAAATAAACAGACAAACTTTCGTAGGAAGGTATTTTCATAACTTGGTAACTACATGTGTGAAATATGCATGTTGAAAATACATTTTTTTTGTGGCCAGTGTTTTGTACGTATATGTGCTTTTCTTTGTTTAGATAACAATACGATGTCTTCTTCGTACAGCGATCATCATTGTGATATATTTACGTTCACTTAGATTCCAAAACATCTTTTTAAGATGGCTTCTATAGACATACACATAAGCATAAAAGCAGGGTGCCGAGCAGGGACACCAGGGAAATGTCCAACCAATGCGCCGAGCAAGGTAGGCAGGATATCGTGGTAATGACCAGGGCTGCGGAGTCGGAGTCGGAGTCGGAGTCGGTCGGAGTCGACAGTTGTGACCGGAGTCGGAGTCGGAGTCTGAGTCGATTTTAGAAACCCGAGCCGGAGTCGGAGTCGGAGTCACCGAAAATCTGTCGACTCCGCAGCCCTGCTAGGTCTGCGGAGTCGGAGTCGAGAGTTGGAGTCGCTCGGAGTCGACAATTCTGCCCGGAGTCGGAGTCGGAGTCGGAGCTGGTTTTTGAAAGCCGGAGTCGGAGTCGGAGTCGGAGTCGCCGAAAATCCATCGACTCCGCAGCCCTGGTAATGACTTATCTCTATGAACGGATATTGTAGGCAGGATAGGTACTATCTCGGTACTGATAGAGCCTTCCGTCATTCGTTTAAAAAAGTTATCTTGTCAAAATTTCACTCCTTGCTTCAAGAACTTATTGTGCTTGGCTCCATCTGCCTTCCATGACTGCGTCACTTTTGCCAGCTAGTTACCTGACAGGCACATTGCACAATGCACAAGCACGCAAACAGAGGGCTGTGCCCTGGTGGTTGGGCTTGCCATCAGCACTTATTCGAACGGCCGAAAGGTGACGCTGGAGTGCCGGGCTGCGCGACGCCCTGTAATCCTGGGAGGTGGGCATTCCACGATAGATCGACCAAAAAAACTTAAAATTTACACCCGTATATTTTATTTTTTGCTTCAAATTGGTCTAATGGGTTGTGATGGGCGGGGAACCCAGCTGTGGCAAGGATTGTTTTCTTCGAACAACGGTTTCCGAGATATAGCCTCGGGCAGTTCCTGGAGGTCACGCAGCAACCCTATGTTTGGCGGCTTATAACTCAGAAACTATTGGTTTTCTATGGTAAAAACTTGATATGGTTCAACTCGCAATCAACCAACAAACGTTTTGGCTATCTCGGATTTTCGAATTTTGAAATTTTTGATCACGTGACATCTTGACCTTTTTTCGAAGAGTGACCTTGATGTTTTCCCAACTGAAAGTCGCAATTTTGTCTGATGACGATTAAAGCCTTATCAATTTTCATTCATATGCGATAATAAAAAAGTGGCTTTCGGCCTGCGTTGACCTCAGGTCAGGTCATTTTTATGACCTTCCCATTATTACGAGCGGGAGCGACAGCGAGATCTCGAGAACAAAGCAAGATAGCGACAAGCGGTAAACGGCACAGGGTACACATGGATAAGATCTACAATTTTTATTGAGGTCATTTTCAGGTTAGGTCAAAGATGACGTCACATGGGTAAAAAGAAAGTCTAAATGGCGGCACTACATATATATGAAGTTTTTCTCGAATAACTTTCGAAGTATCCCAGCTAGGAACAAACTAATAGCACCATCGTGATACTTCGATCCGCATCGAAACATGTGTATGTTGACCTCGAAAGGTCAAGGTCAAAAGTTGACCTTAGGTCACGTGACCTTAAGGTCATCATATATATCATTCGATGGGCCTTGACGAGCTGAGAACAATGAGCCTATCCGCGCGGCTGTATCTCAAACCTGTAAGGAGTTATTAGCAAAAAACATTTGGTGAACTTTAACCCTCGCCGGCCGAGTGGGGGGGGGGGGCGGGTGCCGCCCCCCCCATAGGGTTTTTTCGCGATAGCTCCGAACACGCTGGCGATAGAGAGCTGAAACTTGGCATACCTGACCTTTGATCCAAGCCGCATCTTTTGACACCAACCGTATTTTTGGGTCAGGTCAGGTCACTGACCTATGACGTCATAAGTGAACCTCTGCACGGTCTTCAGATGTCGCAACTTCGCAACGCCCTCACTGCCAGAGGAGATGTCACGGGGAAATGAAACTTACAGGATCTAGTATCCATTATGAGTCTCACAACTTGTATATCTCGGATTTTTCCTAAAGGTCATATGAGGTCAGGTCTAGTGGTGTCATTTTCCAAAAAATGTCTGACCGATACCGACCGAAACCAAAATTTGGGAAAATTTCCGACCGAATACCGACCGATAACATCCCAAGCCAAAGTTTGACCGAAATTTGACCGAAATACCCCAAAATTAAAATAATTGGTAAATTCTGATGGAAAATAATGGGAAATGGCATTTCAGTCCAAATTCAGTCAATTCCTAGCCACTGCAAAATACATTTTGTGGTAGAAGTTACATTGCTAAGGGTAGACTAGGAACACATGGACCTCAGCATTTCACAGATTTGGTTAATTAGATTAGAATTGTCAAGAATCTGCTGTGGTCTATGTAAGGAAGAATACTCATTAATGGTGCAAAAGCACGATCAATTAGTAAGTCCAATGGTTGGTAATAGGTATGTTCATGACAACATTCCCTAGGAGAAAAGGCAGAATCGAAACACCACAAAACACATCAACACTGCTTGGAAACTGGCCTTGAGTCTTGAGATGTGGTCTGAGACACTCTACGAAGAATTTGACACTGAAAATCCAGCTGACAAGGCAAGTATTAGGTAGCTCTGAGCCTGAATTTCGTCCCAAAAATGAAATGAAAATTCATTAAACTGGCACTTTGTCTTATCTTTACAAGAAAACACAATATGCAGACAAAATTAATACAAGTGGCGCAAAACAATAGTAGAACCCAGTAGAACCCAAGTAGAACCAAGGATTGACTTTTAAGATCCTCTCTTTCCTAACTAAAGGATGTAAGACGATGACTTAATATTTATTTATATGCCCTTTTGGTTGAATTATTGAAGTGAAACTAATTTTCTTGAAGTGAATTACACTTACAATGTTGATTTCATTAGACTTCAAATCAAAATCGTGTTGGAACATTTACATCAATAAAATCATTCACGATGCAGCATGTAACAATCCAAAACCTTTTTTGCAGCAACTTAATCAGCTGGTTTAAAGTCTCTGATCTGTTTCAAAATCCCTTGTGTTTGGAGATGATGTGGAACATTCCAGAAAGCGGACATGGCCCTCTGTAGTTTTATCAAGATTCCTATGTTTTTAATTTTTATGTTGTGGTCATCTAGATTTCAAACATTTGGTTGGTACCTGCAATATTTAAGGAGAATGTGGAATAGTAGAACACCTGTGAAATGTAAATTGAAATGTGATCACTGCTAAGTGCTTAGTGCTAGCTGTCCAGTCTTCAGAAACACATTTCAGTAATTCAAGTTCTTTTTGTCCTTGCATTTTTGATCACTGTATAATGATTTTTGTAGGCAATAACTTCTTTGATTACAGGTGATATCTTAACAGTTAGACTGGAATTGAGTTTCGAAATTGTGTGTATTTGTGGGGCCAACTGAGTCAAAATAAGCCTGCTTGTAGTTGTGGTTGCACAATGGGTGGCTGCTGCCTGCTGGGTGGGATCAGGATGGGTACTGAAGTTGCCAAAATGTGGCATCTCTTGTAGCTTTTGGGGGAAATTTTGCAACTCTTTATCATTAACATCCCAATAAATTTCATTTTAACCAGGCAAAAATGGAATACTTTCTCTTTTTGAAAATGGCTTCACTGGCAGGGTGACCGAAAGTGTCCGATTTTTTGGGGGCCTGACCGACCGATTACCGAATCGGTCAGCATATCTTTTCGGTACCGAAATTTTCGGTAACCGATTGACATCACTAGTCAGGTCATTTTCGTGACCTCACCATTATAAGTCAATGGGGAAAAATGAAAACTGCTATTCTGGCGCCGGGAACGATCTCCAACTATCCCAAGCACACAGAATCGTGATTAGATGCACTCCTTGCAAGGTTAGATGCGTCAGTTTTGCAATGTTCACCTTCCGTGACGTCATTCATCAAGGTCATATTAGTTTTTCGTCAATAACTCCCGATCAAATTGAGCTAGCGAGTCGGAAAGGCCACCACTGGACTCAGGAAGACCTGCCGAATCGAATGACATGCGACATGGACTCTTTCGACCAACTTCGTGACCTGGGGGTGCTGACCTGACCTTGACCTGAGGTCAACACCCCAAGTTGACCTGACCCGAACAAAGAGTATATCATTCGACGCGCCTGAGCGAGGCGAACACGATGCTGCCAAAATCGCGGCTCTGCGGCCGTTTTTTGCGAAGTTATTCACCAAAAACTGATTCGTACCCTGGGGCACTTGACCTGACCTCAGAGGTCACCGGTTGACCTAGGACCTTAAAATCGGGTACCAATCTCTGCGTCTCGCAACGGCGCACACGCTCGTTTTTTCCGCGACGCGCTAGCTCCACCAGGGGCGAAACGGCGAGGGGGGGGGGGTCGTACCCGCCCCCCCCCCCTCGGCCGGCGCGTATGTAGAAAACCAATAGGTCCGGCGAGGGTTAATGACGTCACATGACCCAAGAGCAACGTCACAGTTGACCAAGAGCAAAAAAGGTCTCAAGGTAGTCAAAGTTAGTTGCATATGGAGTCACTCATGGTATATTAGGCAATTCCGACGCGTTTTAGTGTAAAAATAAGGGAGCTGATTTTTCCCAATTGACTTATAATGGGGTGGTCAAGAAATTGACCTGACCTCAGGTCATCGGTATCGAAGTTCAAAACGAACTGGCGCTAGGCGAAAGCAAACGGATTGGTGCCTATTCTACGTCTCTTTCTTTATTAGATCAAAAGGTACAGCCAAAACTATTTTGACTTCCTTTTTATCCCTGTGACGTCATCTTTGACCTGACCTGAAAATGACCTCAGTAAAAATTGTAGACCTTATTCGTGTGAATCCTGAATCGTTTACCACTTGTCGCTATCTTGCTTTAGTCTCGAGATCTCGCTGTCGCTCCCGCTCGTAATAATGGACAGGTCATAAAAATGAC